AGCATGAGCAGTTCAATCAGTTTTGCATCACTAAAAGTGTTTTCCTACAAAAATTATTCTGTTTCCTGCCAAATTCTCTTTATAGTGACTGTTTAAATAAAGAGATGGTCTAAAAATGTCAGGATTGTTCATTCTTGTCATATTTAATTGAACTGTTGCATTTGTGTATTTAATGTTGTATGTGGTAAAAATAAACATGTCAGCCTGAAGTAGTTGAGGAGAGCTGTAAATATTCTTAAACTTTTATCTAGTTGGGCTTCCACTTTTATATGTACTTTGTGTTTTTTTTTTGTTCTAGGTGTTTGCTGAGTATCCTGGGAGTTCAGCTCAGTTGAGGGTGCTCTTAACTTTTTATGCTTCTACCATAGTGTCTGCTCTAGTGACTGCTGAGGACAAATTGGATAATATAGTTGCCAAGCTGTTTCCATACATCCAAAAGGTTGGCCTTGCTCATAAGTAAAGTAGATAATTTTGTACTTGAAGGAATTTCCTGGCTTTTAAAAGTTTCACTTGACGATAAATATTTTAAAATTGGCCGTTGGTAAGATTTAATTTTTTGGTTAAAAAAAATAATAATAACTTGTCTTAAAAACGTAACCAAGGTGGGATCTTAATAAGGGTTCCTTAAGAATTAATGTTGGCTCTTTGGCCCTGCCGCTGTCTTCCAGATCTGGTTTTTTAGCAGTCATGTTAATTCACTGGAAAAGGAATGGATTTAAAAATCTCATCAAGGCATAGGCTCTTTTATTCTTTTTGCAATGACTGACTTACACTTATCAGTGTTTCTTCTTCTCAAGTGCCTTGTTGCCTATCACCCTTCCGGATCCCTCATGGATTTACTGCTTTCACTTCCTACTGGTGTCCCAAAATTATTATCTTTAATCAGACACTGTTTTGTTTCTGAAGTCTCCTTTATAGTGGTGGGTGTTTGCCTGTATAAGAGCCTATTGGCTGGCCCCTGTTATCATAAATAGTGGATGTTTGAGTTGGGAGACCTTCTGAGATCCCTCCCTTCATCCAGGAGACTTACCTCTATGTGCTCAGGAAAGGAGGTTGACTTCTGAGGTGTGGTTGACTCTCAGCTTGTGTTAGGTAGTATTAATCTATTATGGCATTTTCAATTTGTCAAGGTAAAGTGACATTTTAAGTAGAATTCAGTGCTATAGTTTATAATTTTTCCTTATATCTTAAAAAATATTTAGGGATTGAAATCATCTTTACCAGATTACAGAGCTGCCACGTATATGATAATATGTCAGATTTCTGTGAAAGTGACAATGGAAGATACCTTCGTTAATTCGTTGGCCTCACAGATCATCAAAACACTGACCAAAATTCCCTCTTTGATCAAGGATGGATTAGGTTGCTTGATAGTGCTCATGCAGAGACAGAAGCCAGAGAGCCTTGGAAAGAAGTATGTACAATTGAATTGAAAAATGATAGTAATTAAAGGAGAAAGAAGTTATTTTGAATAATTCTTTCAAAGATAAATTTTATACTGGGTTTTCTTTAAGTTGCCGTATATTTGACTTCTGAAGTTAACATGTACTTATTTCTCAAAGGCCATTTCCTCACTTGTGCAATGTTCCTGATCTCATTACAATACTTTATGGGATTTCTGAAATCTATGACATCAGTCCTCTTCTGCGTTACATGCTTCCCCATCTGGTTGTCTCCATTGTTAATCATGTTACAGGTATGTGGTTTTACATTTTGTGTTGAGAAACTTAATGTCTAAGATCAGATTCTCTTAAAATAGGAATCACATTCCTGTTATCTCTAAGATATTTAAAGGTTCTTATTACTTGTTCTGTGTCATTTATTGTTCTGTGTAATTTATTCTTACGTGAAAAACATTTGAGGTGGGGAGTTAGGTTGGTTGAAGGGAGATCCTTCCTTATTCATTGAAGGATATACTCAGAATTCTGTTTTGTTTTTTACCTATCTGTACGTGAAGACAACTATGGAATTATTTTAAAATGATTAATGTATGTTGCCAAGTAAAACTTCCCTTTCTCATTTAGATAATTAATGAACTTCAGTGACTCATTTATAAATACTCAGTTGCCAAAAAAGTTTTTCTCCTTTGAGTCTTTGACCATAGACCAAGAAAATCTCATACATAAAAATCCAGATTTTAAAAAAATCTTTAATTAAAAGTGATTATTTCCATTATTTGCTTTTTTATCCTTCAATAAATACAGAAAGACAAGAAGAAATGCTTGGTCCTATTACCGCTTAGGCTAAGAAAGACATACTAAGGAAGACATCTCTAAATTATGTCAGTCTGTTGAAAATTAAGTTTGCTTACCCAGATCTTGGTTTACATATGTTTTTCAGAAACATGACTAAATGTTTAAAAGTACATTTTTCCTATTTTGGTGGCGATGAGTAATGTCCCAATCTTTGAAGGCAGGGCCAGCATACATCTGTGGTCAGTCTGGAATATTAGATGACAGCTCTTGGTTCAGTAAGGTGTATCGAGGTGATGATTGAGCTTGTTTTCAGAGCTAGTTTATTAAGACCTAGGCTTGGGTCCCTACTTCAGCCCCTTCTAATATGACCTGGAATGACTGTTTTTTGGACTTCTGTTTTAGTAAGATAGGCATGAAAAACTTGTTAAAAATAAAGAGAATTTCAGGTAAAGCGTAAGTGAGGGTAATGTATACAAAAATGTAAAAATATATAAATGGCTAAATAGGTAAAATACACTTTTATAAACAGGTAAAAAGCTGGTTTCAGATGAATATGATTTAGTTATTCCTATAGGAGGGTTTTCTACTGTAAATTTAATAATGTTAAGTGCAAAAAACTTTTCCCAATCAATTTTAATTTATGTTGTATACTAAAGGAGAAGAAACTGAAGGGATGGATGGTCAAATCTACAGGAGACATTTAGAAGCTATACTTACAAATATATCACTGAAGAACAACTTAGACCATTTGTTGGCTAGGTAAGAAGGTATTATTTCTGACATGCTTTTGATTGTATTTTGTGGTTTTGTATACTTTTTAGAATTTTCCAGTATGTCTTTATGATGTGCTTCTAGATTTGTCAGTATCATTTCACTAATTAGAAGTACTTAGTGCAATAATTGTGGCACTAGAAGGAAAAAATAATTTCTCTCTAGTGCTTATGTGTGATCGTGGAAATTTAATCGTTAAGCTAAATTTGGGTTATAGCTACATGTAGCTAGTGGCTGTTTAGAGTTTCCTATTAATGATCAAAATGCCTGAAGCAATACCTCACAGTTGGCATTTAGTAAATATCAATTAGAAACTTAATACTGAGGGTTGGTGTGAAGTGAGGGTTATTTCTTATTTTTCTGTAAAGATAGTTGTTTCCCATTTTCTTTTTTTACTTAAAGGTCAACTTGATATAAATGCAAAGAATGTAGGGACTGCATTCAGACATGGGCTTGAATCCTGCCTCTCTCATTTCCAGGAGAGTAGAGTAATAAGTTCTGAAGGTCAGACTGCCTGGATCTGGTTTTGCTGTTGTGTAACATTGGCCTGCCTGCTGGTGTGTGTCATTCGTGCCCCTTGCTCACAGAGTTGTCTTGTGAATTTCATGATAGTATACGTGGGAAGTACTGTGGAGAGTGTGGGCCCCTGGATCAAACTAGAGTTGAAAACACACAGTAGGACTCACTAAGTGTTGGCTGTGGTGTTTCTCCTTCTTCGATCTCAGGCAAATTACAAGAATCTTAGCCCTGGTTTTTGTCTAAAGAATGACTTCTACCTTGTGGAAGTATGGCAGATGATATTTCTAAGGCATCTAGAACATAATGAGTACTCAGTAAATAGCTCTCATGTCTGCTTGTACTTGTTTTGCAGCCTTCTTTTTGAAGAGTATATTTCATATAGTTCACAGGAAGAAATCGATCCCGATAAAGTATCTTTGCTTAATGAACAGTTTCTTCCACTTATCAGACTTCTAGAAAGCAAGTAAGTTGTGTGTTTGTGCTGTTCTCTAATGTGTGCCTCTTGATTTATAAAAAGATTCACAGGTCACATTGAAATAAAGTAAATGAATTCTAAAGAGGCTGTCCTTTTTGTTCCCCCTTGAGGAAGACAGGTGAGGGATTTAGGTATATTTGAAATTTGACTTTCATATAGGGAATAGGGGCTATGTGGAGACTATAGAGAGTATAATTGTTTTTTACGGAGAGTCTCTGTTGCAATAGTCATAGTTACAGACTTGATTAACATCACCAGGTTTTACGTATACTGTTTTACGTATACGTTTGTTAAAATTATAAGTCTCAGTCTCAGTAATTTCTGAAGTTTTATTTATGTTTTTTTATATGTGTAAGGTGCATGTGGTCAGTGACTTTACCAAGAATAATTAACTCATTAATTTCTTCCCAGATATCCCAGAACATTAGATGTTGTACTAGAGGAACGCCTAAAAGAAATTACAGATCTAAAAAAACAAGAACTTTTTCATCAGTTTATCTCTCTTTCCACAAGTGGAGGAAAGTATCAGGTAGGTTTTTCTTCAGAGAAATTACTACAATTATGGGTATATTTGTGTGGTTCTTTGAAGAGCTCTAGAAGGAAGTTTGCTACTTCATACCTTTCTTTGGAAAATTTTATGGACAGGTGAGATTTAATACAATTTATCTAGTTCCCTGAAGTAAGGCCGTGAGGCAGGGGTTGAATCATTGGAAAAGGCACAGTAATTTAAATAACTGAAGTGATATGTATTTCGGAAGAGTATTGTTTGGAAATGTTACAGATGATCATCAGCAATCCTTAGAAGGTGGCTTCACGTAGTTTCCAGCATGTTCTTATTTTTGTCCCATATCTGTACTTTCCAGTGCAGTACCCACTAGCTGTATATGGCTATTTAAGTCATTTATTCAGAAAAAGGGAGGTAGATTTTAATTTCATGAGCATGTTAGAACTTAGAAATTTCCTGGTGAGTAACCCTAAATCTTTCTACTAGAAGTTAGGCAGTTCTTAAAATTAGCCTTGAAAATAAATATGAAGAAAAACTTGATTGTTTTGGTTTTTCTTTTCTAATAATTAGACTTTCATCTTTAATGGCATTTCATTCCCAAATCTTAGTGAAGTAAGTTGTCGTAAATCTGTCACTGTTGTATCATTTAGATAAATTGCTTTCTGTCTTCAGTGACCAATTTTTTAAATTTCTATTTTCATTTAGGTGCTACTACAATGATATATTTTAGGTACTTCTCAGTCTGGAGTCAGATCTACATAAAGAAAGCAAAGTTACTTCATAGAATTGCTTCACTAAATAAACCTACCCATAGACATGAGGGTACTCAAAGTCACAACATTAACAATGTATATTTTGTTCATCTGTTGTAACTCATACCCTATTCTAGAGACAAAGATTTTACTTTATTTCATGGTGTCTGAAGTTAGATGGTTGTTATCAAATATGTTGGGCATTTTGGGATGGTTTTCTCTAGTTTTTATTCTTGATCAGATGCTGTTCAGATTTAATGGTGAAATAATTTGGTGATTGTGATGAATCCTATAGTTTCTAGCAGATTCTGATACTTCCCTGATGCTCAGTCTGAATCATCCACTTGCTCCTGTGAGACTTCTGGCCATTAATCATCTGAAAAATATGAAAACATCAGAGGTTTGTATCAGATAGCTTCATTTGTGGTATTTTTATCCTTAAGGTGAACAGTGTCATTCTAGAATAAGAAATTGAAGTTACCAACTATAATTAATATTGTGTAATTACAGATACAAGATGAATAAAGCAGAGGAGAGTGTACAGGACAAAGATTTAGGACCATACATACCAGCAGGCGGCACTTTTAACTTGTGTATGCTCTACTAACAACTGTCTTCACATGTTTCCACGTTGCAGATTATTATTTAGCTTAGTGTTTTTCAGACTAGAATTTCTAGATTATTTACAGAGGCTCACAAATTATCTGAGAATGTTTTAGTTTTGAAATTTGACTTTGATAGTCTCAAGTTCAACATGAGTATATTTGGGAACATGGGAATGAGAGCTTTTGGGACACCGTTCATGATCTCAGTACCTGCAGTTGTATTTGTGTTTCACATTTTGGTGGCTGCGAGAAGTAAGTACAAAGGCTGACTTAATTTGTAAATAATATCTTTATACCAAAATGGTATTTTAGAAGACTTTGTAATGATTCAAATGAAGCATTATTTTTCAGAATTGAGCCATTCAAACAATACCTTCACGATTTTTGCTTTGTTTGCTTACTGTTGATACTATGTTCTTAAAATTTTTCTCCCACTTTTAAATGGACTCATTTTTACATAGCCATCAAATCATGGGTTTGAAGAGCTAATTGGTAGAGATATTTTACTGTTGTTACTATAATTGAAATGGGAGTGTTCATTGCTGTGATATCTGAAATCCTCTTGTATATGTACTATTATTAGCATATTTGGAAAATTTCTGGAATAAAAAAAGTGGTCCCAGAGTTGTTTCCCCATGGCATGTAGTACTACAAACATGCTGAACTCAAACTTGTGTCATGGTTGGTAGATCCAGATTCATGTCACAAGTAGAATTGAATTTCAGCTAATCATAATTACCCTAATAAATACATTTCAGTTTGAGTTTTATTGGTTTTATAGGGCTTTTAAATATTGGACTTCAAATTTTTTTTTATTTTTGATATTTTTATATTTTTGAGTTAATTTTAAAATGATCTGTAAATAAAAGTATTAGGATCTGTGAGAATGTTTCTTTAAAAATGATTGTAGTATTCAGATTTATAATCTGTTGATTTTGATTCATTTCTGATCTGGCATAAGGTTACGTTTCACAAACTGCTGATAAGTATGTGCTATTGATTTTTTTTTTTTTTTTTTAATTAAACTACTGAATTCTGGTCTTTTGTTTTGATGGGAAGATTCCAGTGTCTAGAATGAAAAAGGGATTCCTGGAAGCTCCTGATACTCCTAAAGCTGTTCTCAGCCTTCTTTTACTCTTAATCCCTACCTCCCCTATCCTTTTCTGGATCTGGTTAGATTTTCAGTAAAAGGCACTGTATACATCTGCCTTTTAGGTTCAATATTGTCATTACAGTTACTGTCTTTCTCTGCATGCTTTGATTTCACTTTCCCTTCTCCATCAGTGACAGAACATAGATCCTATTATAGAATTTCAGATTGGGATATTTGGCTACTTGTTAGCTCTAGAGAAAATTTTGGTGACATTTGGTACATGAGATTTGAGCTTCAGTTTTGTGAGTTCTAGGGATTTGGGTTTTATCTCCCAACAGAGAGCCCTGTTACTTTTTTATAGCATTATAAAAAATGCCACCTACAGGTAGGGATCTATTTAGGTTGGCTTGTAGTCTTACTTTTCCATTACTTTGAATGATTATATGCTTTATTTTCTTTTGTTAAGAAAAATAGGATCTCTTTTGACAGACTGGCAACTGGCTTCTCAGCAGATGTCCTCATCCTTGTAAAAATCTTGATAATGATAGCTAACTTTTAACAGTACTTACATTGTGTAAGGCCTTGTTCTATGCACTGACAGGTATTATTTCATTTTGTGGCAGTCCTTTGAGATAGGTGCTATTATTAGCTGTCTTTGATAGATAAGAACAGTGAGACCTGGAAAGGTTAAGTAACTTGCTACAGGTCACACAGTTGGTAAGTGGTCGAGCTAGGATTTAAACCAGACGTTCTGGTTCTTAGGCTATGCACTCTCAATATCCGGGCTCTTGTTTAGCAAGATGAACGTCTTAATGCAAAAATTATGTTTGGATTATACATATTCTATGGTATTTTCAGTAGAAACTGGGAAAAGTTTGTACCAAATAATTACTCATCTAAAAAAGACCCTTTAGAGATTATCAAGTTCAGTGCAAGTATGCTTAGAGTGTTTGAGTTTGTGTCTAGGGTAGAGCCTGTATTTCTTGATGGATAATGAGTGCAGTGCTTTTCATAAAACTAAGCTTTCTTTTTAGTGTAAACTCTTGGGGAGGTTTTAGCAATAACCAAATTTATATATTTTTTCTCTTGCTTAGGAGAGTGTTGATGAGTCTTTCATAAAAGAAGCTGTTTTAACCCGATTAGGTGATGATAGCATAGATGTTGTTTTGTCAGCTATAAATGCATTTAAGGTGAGTGAATTTGTTTGTTGAAATACACAATTTGTAAATATTTTTTCATTCCCAGGTGATTCTCTGCTCTAGGCAGGAACATATTTGGAAATTATTCCTTCATTGGGAATTTGTTCTGAGAGCATAGACTTAAGCCTGATTAAGGAAAGCTCATGGGAAAAACTAGACTGCAGAGTTTTATGTATATGGAAGTTCTTCAAGAGGGAAACGTGCTTTGTGAATTTTTATCAGTAGTAAATACCTTGGGATCATGGAAGATTGTCTCATAAATGCCACTTTTGAGAAACTGTTCTCATAAAGCTTTGAAATTATATGAGGACTGTTGGGAGATAAATTCTTTATAATTCATTATTTTTTTAAAGTTCCTTTAACAAGTACCATGTGTATCTGAAGCAAGTGAAAATTTACTTATGTATGTTTCTTCCCCTTTAGATTTTCAAACAATATTTTAGTTCAGAAGTGACGGTTTCAAATCTTCTCAGCCTCTTTCGAAGAGCAGAACTTTCAAAAAATAGGGAATGGTATGTATTCATTTCTCCTCATACTGTTTTGAATTGACAGAATTCTACGTCCGTTTCAGTTCTATTTTCTTTCTTTACATTTTTGCATCTTATAATTTAGTTACATGGCCCTTTGGTCATGGTAGTGGAATGGATCATAATGTAACTTGTGCATCATAAAAAGAATGAGGGTTTGTGGGGGTTCTGTATGTTTGAAATTTTTCTTAATAAATTTTCTTAATAAAAATTTTCCTAATAAAATGGAAAGATTACATAATGGTGACATAAACGGTGAAATCTGAGAAGTAGGGTAGGAAGTAGTTTAATTTTCTGCTTTATAGAATTCTATTTGATTGTTTTTATAAGGATAGTATATTACTTTATAATTAAAAGTAAACATATTAAAATAAGCTCAGAGGCACATGGTCACCTGTAGTGTTTGATATACTCTAGTTACTTCATTTTTTGCATCTAAGCTTTTTGCACTGAAAAAATGACCTAAGCTCCTGGGGGGAGGAGAGCATGTCTTACAGATTTTTGTATCTGTCGTATTTAGTTCTTAGCACACAGTATGTGTTTATATATTTTTTTAACTTATGAGTGAATCCTTCATTTCTAATGGAGTTAAGATATGTTGTGAGATACATATTTTATGTTATAGTCAACCTAGTGATTTCTCCAAAAAAAAAAAAAGCAGTTTACAATTACTGTCCCAAATAGCTCCCTGTTAGCATGGATTTTGAGTGATTGTCTAGGGTCTCTCCGAATAATGTATTTGGTGAGGAGATCAAGATAGTGTCAGTTGAGCGGGAACAATGTAATCATTTTTTTTTTTTTGCTGAGTTTAAGTTTCTAATGGGTCCCTCAACCAAATGTGTTTGTGTTTCAGGTACAAGGTACTTGAGGTAGCAGCAGACATATTAATTAAGGAAAAGATACTGAGTGAAAACGATCAGTTGTCAAATGAAGTGATGGTGCATCTGCTGCCATTTATGATTATTGTCAATGATGATATGGAATCTGCTGATACGAAAATCGCCATATATTTATCGAAATCCGGAATTTGCTCTCTGCACCCTGTATTAAGAGGCTGGAAAGAAGGTAAGAAATTTGGTTGCCTTTGTGGGGGGGGGGGACCAACAACACTTTTTAAATACTTTAAAAAGAGGGGCATCTGAGTGGCTCAGTGGGTTAAGCCTCTGCCTTCGGCTCAGGTCATGATCTCAGGGTCCTGGGATCGAATTCCAAAGGGGGCTTTCTGCTCAGCAGGGAGCCAACTTTCCCCTCTCTCTCTGCCTGCTGCTCTGCCTCCTTGTGATTTCTGTCTCTGTCAAATAAATAAAATCTTTAAAAAATAAATAAATACTTTAAAAAGAAAAGTACAATTAAAAGTTGGCTCTAATCATTATTTGAAATCATGTTTGCTGTGGTCTATGTCAGCAAGATTTTTAAAGATTTTTGCCAAGGTCAGAAACCTACGGTTGACTCTTGAACAGCGTAGGGTTGAATGGCATGTGGATTCACTTAAATGCAGGTATATTTTGATAAATACAATACTCTAAATACATTTTCTTCTCTTATTATTTAAATACTACTTTTTTTTTCTCTAGATTACAGTATTGTAAGAATACAGTATAGCATGAATACAGTATAGCATACTTATAACATTAAAGGTGTGTTAACTGTTTGTTATTTGAAGGCTTCTGGTCTGTAGTAGGCTATTAGTAGTTAAGTTTTTGAAGATATATGCAGATTTTCTCTTGTGTTAGGGAGGGGCATTGGCAACCCCATTCCCCACGTTTTTCAGTAGTCAACGACAATGAAAATGAAGCTGACCTAGAGATAGATTCAGAATTGGATAAAAGGAAAAATACAGAGCAAACCTTCATAGGAAAATTGAAACTTTTGCCTAAATTTCTTACTCTACAGAATTCATGAGGCGAGTATTGGTGATACAAGGGTCCTCTGTGTTCATTTTTTTTTTTTTT